ACAATCTCGGTAAAAAGCGGCGTAATATTTACCTCGCCATTCCGTCGCTCGGTATATATTCTGCCTCTATTCACCTCGATTTCAAACAAAAATTGTTAAATATAGACGAATATACTATTATACAGCTTTTTCATCACGTCTTGGCACTTTGATGTAACTGACTGTATTTTGTATAAATAAAAGCTTCTATCGATGTTTACAATTTGTCACTAATCACGATTATTTTCGTCTAATAGAAAAGGGCAAACTCTTTACCAAAAACTGCAAAAGACGAAGTGGGAGACAAAGGTGAAAAAGGAAACGCCTATCAAGGACAGAAGGAATTAAAAAGAGCCATTGAACACATTCAAAGCATTCTAAAAATTGTCAAAGAAGTGGGAGACAAAGCTGGAGAAGGAAGCGCCTATAGTAGTCTTGGCATTGCTTATCAAAGTCTCGGGGATTTCAAAACAGCCATCGATTACCATGAACGTCATCTAAAAATTGCCAAAGAAGTTGGAAACAAAGCTGAAGAAGGAATGGCCTATGGTTATCTTGGTAAAGCTTATCAAAGTCTCGCGGATTTTAAAGCAGCCATCGATTACCATAATCGTGATCTTAAAATTGCCAAGGAAGTTGGAAACAAAGCTGAAGAAGGAGAGGCCTATGGCAATCTTGGCAACGCTTATCAGAGTCTGGGGAATTTTAAAACAGCCATCGATTATCATGAACGTCATCTAATAATTGCCAAAGAAATTGAAGACAACGCTGGAGAGGGAAGAGCGTATGGTAATCTTGGCAACGCTTATCAAAGTCTGGGGGATTTCAAAACAGCCATCGATTACCAAGAACGTAATCTAAAAATTGCCAAAAAAGTTGGAGAAAAAGCTAGACAAGGAATGGCCTATGGTAATCTTGGCAATGCCTATCAAAGTCTGGGGGATTTTAAAGCAGCCATGGATTACCATGAACGTCATCTTAAAATTGCCAAAGAAGTTGGAGACAAAGCTGGAGAAGGAATGGCCTATGGTAATCTTGGCAATGCTTATCTAAGTCTGGGGGATTTCAAAACAGCCATCGATTATCATGAACATTGTCTAAAAGTTGTCAAAGAAGTGGGAAACAAAGCTGGAGAAGGAATGGCCTATGGTAATCTTGGCAACGCTTATCAAAGTCTGGGTGATTTCAAAAGAGCCATGGAGTATCATGAACATCGTGTAAAAATTGCCAAAGAAGTTGGGGACAAAGCTGGAGAAGGAAGGGCCTATGGTGGTCTTGGCAACGCTTATCAAGGTCTGGGGGAATTCAAAACAGCGCTCGATAATCATGAACGTGATCTAAAAATTGCCAAAGAAGTTGGAGACAAAGCTGGAGAAGGAAGGGCCTGTGGTAATCTTGGTATTGCTTATCGAAGTCTGGGGGATTTCAAAACAGCTATCGATTATCATGAACGTTGTCTAAAAATTGTCATAGAAGTTGGAAACAAAGCTGAAGAAGGAATGGCCTATGGTAGTCTTGGCAACGCTTATCAAGGTCTGGGGGATTTCAAAACAGCCATCGATTATCATGAACGTTCTCTAAAAGTTGTCAAAGAAGTTGGAGACAAAGCTGGAGAAGGAAGGGCCTATGGTAGTCTTGGCAACGCTTATCAAAGTCTGGGGGATTTCAAAACAGCCATCGATTACCATGAACGTCATCTAAAAATTGTGAAAGAAGTTGGAAGCAAAGCTGGAGAAGGAATAGCCTATGGTAATCTTGGCAACGCTTATCAAAGTCTCGGGGATTTCAAAACAGCCATCGATTACCATGAACGTAATCTAAAAATTGCCAAAAAAGTTGGAGAAAAAGCTAGAGAAGGAATGGCCTATGGTAATCTTGGCAACGCCTATCAAAGTCTGGGGGATTTTAAANAGCTGGAGAAGGAAGGGCCTATGGTAGTCTTGGCAACGCTTATCAAAGTCTGGGGGATTTCAAAACAGCCGTCGATTACCATGAACGTGATCTAAAAATTGTCAAAGAAGTTGGAAGCAAAGCTGGAGAAGGAATAGCCTATGGTAATCTTGGCATTGCTTATCGAAGTCTCGGGGATTTCAAAACAGCCATCGATTACCATGAACGTCATCTAAAAATTGTCAAAGAAGTGGGAAACAAAGCTGAAGAAGGAAGAAGCTATGGTAATCTTGGCAACGCTTATCGAAGTCTGGGGGATTTCAAAACAGCCATCGATTACCATGAACGTTATCAAAGAATTGCCAAAGAAGTTGGAGACAAAGCTGGGGAAGGAAAGGCTATTGGTAGTCTTGGCAACACTTATCAAAGTCTGGGGTATTTCAAAACAGCCATCGAGTACTATAAACGTCATCTGAAAATTGTCAAAGAAGTGGGAGACAAAGCTGATGCAGGAATTATCTATGGTAATCTTGGCAACGCCTATCAAAGTCTGGGGGATTTAAAAACAGCCATCGATTTCCATGAACGTCATCTGAAAATTGCCAAAGAAGTTGGAGACAAAGCTGGAGAAGGAATAGCCCATGGTAATCTTGGCACAGCTTATCAACGTCTGGGGGATTTCAAAACAGCCATCGATTATCATGAACGTTGTCTTAAAATTGACAAAGAAGTTGGAGACAAAGCTGGAGAAGGAATAGCCTATGGTAATCTTGGCAACGCTTATCAAAGTCTGGGGGATTTCAAAACAGCCATCGATTATCATGAACGTGGTCTTAAAATTGTCAAAGAGGTGGGAAACAAAACTGGAACTGCCACATCGTTCTTTAATCTTGGGAGAGATTTTGAATTACAACGGTCGCTGCCCAAGGCTCTTGATTGCTTTCATTCCAGTGTGAGAATGTTTAACATCGTTAGGCATGAGCTGAAAGGGAAAGATGAGTGGAAAATTA